ATTTTAGTCCGAGAAGAGGAAGCTACACAATTTTCTATTTGCTATATCAGTAGAACTCTAGCCGAGACCGAAACAAGGTATTCTCACCTGGAAAAATTGGTGCTCGCTTTACTAAGCACCTCTAGGAAGCTAAAGCCGTACTTTCAATATCACCCCATATATGTCGTAACCTCTTATCCACTAAGGAACATCATGCACAAGCCCGACCTTTCGGGCTAATTAGCCAAATGGGCCGTCAAAATTAGCGGGTTTGATATTGAGTATTGACCCCGAACCGCTATCAAATCACAAAATTTGGCAGACTTCATGACCAACTTTACACCGGCCCTAATACCCGAAGTCGAAAGGGAATTACTATTAATCTTAGGGACTACCTCAGGAGTTTGGACTCTCTTTACAGACGGTGTTTCGAACGTAAAAGGTCTGGGCTTGGCATCGTGTTGAAGCCATCTACAGGAAACATAGTTAGGAAATCTGTTAGAACTGTAAAATTGACTAACAATGAGGCTGAGTATGAGGCCATAATTATAGGTCTCGAATTGGCTAAAAGCCTTGAGGTTGAGGAGATTGAAGCTAAATGTGATTTCCTCCTCGTGGTAAATCAAGTCAATGGGACGTTCAAAGTAAAAGAAGAGCGAATGCGAAGGTATCTAGACAAGTTACAGGTAATGTTGCATCAATTCAAAGAATGGATCTTACATCATATGCCCCGAGATCGGAACAGCGAGGCTGATGCTCTAGCTAACTTGGGGTTCTCGATTGATGACGATAAGTTCAGATTGGGGACAATTGTACAACTCATGAAGTCGGTGATAGAAGAAGGTCACGCCAAAGTAAACTCCACAAGTTTAACTGGGATTGGAGAAACAAGTACATAGATTACTTGAAGACTAGGAAATTGCCATCGGATCCTAAAGAATCGAGAGATCTTCATACAAAGGGTGTCAGGTTTAGCTTGTCTGAAGGTACTCTATTCATAAGAACGTTTGACGGTCCACTGGCCATATGCTTGGGGTCGGTGATACCGCATATATCTTGAGAGAACTTCATAAAGGCATATGCAGGAACCAATTGAGAGCGGAATATTTGGTTCAGAAATTGATCAGGGTCGGCTACTACTGGATCGATAGGGAGAAAAACACGAAGGACTTTGTACGAAGATGTGACGGCTGCTAGAGACATGCACCGATGATCTATCAATTGGGAGAGTTACTCCATTCGGTCTTGTCCCCATGGTCATTCATGAAATAGGGAATAGACATCATCAGTCCCCTACAGTGGGCACTTGGTAAGGCTCAATTCATACTATTCATGATCGATTATGTTTTCAAATGGGTCGAAGCTCGAGCTTTTGAGAAAGTCCGGGAAAAAAAGTCATCGAATTCATTTGGTACCACATAATATGTTGATTCAGAATACCTGTTGAGATTGTACGCGATAATGGAAAATAGTTTGTCGGCAGCAAGGTAAATAAGTTCTTCGAAGATCACAAGATTAAGAAAATACTATCAACACCTTACCCCCGAGTAGAAATGGACAAGCAAATTCTATGAACAAGACCATTCTCAAAAACCTGAAAAGAGGTTGACCGATGCCAAAGGGAAATGGAAGGAAATCCTACCTAAAGTCATATGGGCATACCGTACGACCTCAAAATCTAGTACCGAGGCCACCCCATTCTCACTGGTCTACAGTGCCGAGGCCTTAATACCAGTCTAAGTAGAAGAACCGAGCCTCAGGTTCCAATATGCGACTGAAGAGTCGAATAGAAAGGCTATGATCATATGTCTAGAACTATTAGATGAAAGACATGAGGTCGCCCTAGTCCGACTGGCCGCCTAGAAACAACGGATAGAAAGATATTACTGCCGAAGAGCCAACTTCCGACACTTCAAGATCGAGGACTTGGTATTGAGGAAAGTAACATTACACACCCGGGACCCAAATGAGGGAAAGCTGAGACCAAATTGAGAAGGTCCATATCGAGTCATCAGAATTAACGGCAAAGTCTCATACAAGCTCGAAGCAGGAAACAATGTGCAACTACCGAACAACTGGAACATGACGCACTTAAAGCGGTACTACTACTAAGGTACGTTATCAATTACTTTTTAATAATATTATGAATCTGACTAACACTTGCAAGCAACGGCCAAGGATGAATGTGAATATTAAGTCTAAAAGCACGCATTACACTCTTTTTCCCTTAGATCGGTTTTGTCCCAAAATGGGGTTTTCGATGAGGTTTTTAATGAGGCAACAGTAAAATGTGCTAACTTAGATTTGAAGGCCGGTCTCAAACCGTAGTCAATGGACATTCATTTTTCATCAACACTATCTGACCCCTCTCAAGTTCGACCTCGAGTACTGGGGGTTATCACCCTCGGGTTAAGGTTTTTAGTAAGGGAAAAAATAAAAACTTGTATCTTAGAAGCTAAGGCTCGGTGGTTAGGATTTATTGTAAGGGCCAAACGGTCGTGTGAACCATGACCACATAGTCCACTTTAGCCATAATACAACCTCAGGACCCGGGGAACCCAAAGACTTTATTTTCCTCTTCTTCTCCTCCTCTGTAGTAGTTAGCTGTCCCGTAACGGAGGGATTAACGAATAGGGATGCATCCTCACCCCCTTTAAACGACTTAAGTTCAGTGGTCTTAGGAAAACTTGCGAAGGAAAGAGAAAGGGTCAGCGTTATATATGTTCGAGGTGTAATAGTAACTATTCTAAGAAAAGCCTTACCATGTGAACGGGCCTCCCATCCGCCCTTCAAAAGCTTGTGCCACAAGCACTCAAAATATGGCATTTGCTTGTAGATTCCTTCGATCCACTCCTTGAGTTGGAGGATCGCATTGGAAACTCGGGCAATAGCTGCATGATCACAAATACCGACGTTGAGAAAGTGAACAAAGAAAAATCAACATACACATAAGCATTCCACTTCTCGGGGAATGGCAAAAACACCGGAGGGATTAACTCTTCAGTCTTCACCCAAACGAAGAGCCTCTGCTAGCCTCGATCTCGATCCTCGTCAATGCTTGAAAAGGGGTGCCTGCTGGCCCGACGAGTGAGCTTGATTAGTCCCCCCTCCCTCCGAAAATTCGGGGACTGTATAGACGGAGCAGTTGGTTGAGAGTGAACCGAGAAGACTTGGTGTCATTCGCAAAGTAACGGAGGAGGATCAAGATCCTCCAAAGAAACGGGTGGATTTGCCCAAGGCACACCTCGTATCTCTTAGAGAAGTCCAAAAAAATTGGGTCTACCGGGACTAGTATAAAGGAATAAGTGTAAACATTTAGATACCCCTCCATATAAGTGGTGATATCATCCTCAAGCTCGGGGACTACCACATCCTTACATCTCAGTTATAGTCCTTTCGAAAAATGGGAAGGATATCTTCGGTGACAGAGCAGATATACCTTGATGCCCCTTCACCTCGGTCTTGTTTGGATGAGACCTTCTTGGCTTTGAAGTAGTCTAAGATTGAACAACCCCCGGGAATAAAACTGTTTATGTTGGGGCTCTATGGCTGATTTAGTGGCAGCCACTTCGGGAGCAACCGCCTCAGGAGCAGCCTTCTCGAGAATAACCACTTTGAGAATGACTGCCTCAATACCTGTGACCGGGTGAGAAGATGAAGAGGCAGCCTGCTGAGAAACTGATTTGGAAGTCTTGGCCATCGTAAAGCTGAAAAATATGTGAACATTTGGAAAGAGCTTATGAAGATTTGAAGTTTGAAAGTGAAGATATGAGTTTCTGGGTTGAAAATCCAAGAAAATGTATGAAGGTTTGAAGGTAGGATGAAGATCTGGGTAGAAACTTATGAACAATTATGAAGATTTGAAGGTTAGAGGTAACAAGATGAAGATTTAAAAGAGTTAGAAACTGCTAGGGAATTCGAATACAAGAGCTAAGACTGGAAAGTGGAAAAGATACAAAAGGTTGAAGCTTTTATAGGAGAAAGCATAATCATTACGCGATGTTTCACATTCGGAAGCGACCAGCCGATGATTGACACGTGTCGGAAGTCAGAACGACGCGACTGATGGGACGTTTCGGCTCATTCGTTGTCTCAGTTGTAACGTACGAAGGAAGGAACCTGGGAACATCTATCGTTTCCCATCGGTTCGGCAAACCCACTCTCTCAGAAACGAGAGGACTATCTGTATACGAGTAAAACTGAGGGTAACATATACCTTGATTTCCCGGTGGGTCAAATGAAGCGAAGATATGACTGCATGGGATCAGAATCCAAGCCAGGGACTTCTTGTACTAGGGGCTGAACAGAGTGCTCGCCACCGGGCCTGGCAAGACAACACCCCTCGGACCTAGAGCGAGCTCCTAAACCTCGAAAAGTGATGTGAATGGTCTCACACGACAAACAAGAAAGCCGTGATATCTGCACCCAACCAGATATCACGGCGTGAATCTCGCCCGACGTCGGTAGCATATCAATAATTGACGAGAAAGGAGGATTTTTTTTATCTTTCTAGAGTTGTACTAGGGATGAAACTCTCCACTCAATAAAGGGGAATCTTTTTCATTCAATATACATTATAACACGCATATCAAGGCAACACAAACTTATTTCTCTGCTTTCTAGCTATTGAAATTTTTTTATTTTAGTAATAGTTCTTCATACATATTTGGCTCCGAATCGAGGGTCTGGTTGAGGGCAGAACTATTGGTAAGCTTAAATCCGAGCCTGAACTTAACGTCACAACTGGTTCGGTTATTTGTTTATCTTTGATTCATTTATCTAACATTCTTGATTACTTGTATTGAATCAATCAACATATTCTTAAAATCACATATAAATTTAATTGTTATCCATTTTAAGGGTAAACAAAGACATCATACACACTGAATAACAGCACGTGATCCAGACCAAAGCATTATTGATAGGCTGTACTAAAAAAATTCGCTATGAATATAGCATGATTAGTAGATATGAAAAGAACATATACAATCTATATCAAGAACTTATATTGGTGTCAATTTTTAAGGGGCCTTAAGTTAAGCTTTCCCCTAACAACAATTAATTGTGGTTAGCATTACAAGAGGTTAATCTTTAGAAAACAAAAGTACAAGTAAAAAATGGTACAAACTACAAAGGGAAGAAGGGATCGGACAATTAATGTGGTGCAACCAAATGGTGGAAAGATCGCTAATTAATACAAGGGTGAAATTAGGTCATTTGATTAATTTGCACAACCACTGTGGAAATTAAATTTCCCTTCTCCTAATTTAAGCAATCCCCAAAATACTCCAAAATGTATATAACGGTGCAATCATATGAACCAAAGTGCTTACTTTTCCTTTCCAAGGCCTAGTGACTCTCATAACTCCTGATAGTGTTTTCCTTGAAAATGCCATAAATGTATCAAGCAAAGTTGCATTTTCTTGTATTTTTCTTATGGGAAAGTCATGCACTAGTACTGGGACTAGGTCTCTGTGTACTGTAACTGTTTTTGAAGGCACCACTTGATGATAGAATGTGTTGGCTGCTTGCCTTGTGGCAACAAACAATCCTTGGCTCACTTCAATTTTCTCATAAACTTCAAAACTTGGGGAATTTGAAAAACCATCTGTGTCTTCATCATTCAAGAAGCTGTCATTACCAAATCCTAATGAGAAATTGTTTGCTTCTCTTTCATTCAAGCTGTTATGCATACCACTGGCTTCTCCTGTAATCAGAGTATAAACAGTTTAACTTTTGTACACTGACAATATAGTAAATTTGCACTATTACTATACTTTAACATTAATAACTTGAAAAATAAGACGCGCTACTTGCTATAAAATGTTAAAATGTACTTATAGCTAGTGCATATTGCATGAATAAATTGTTTATATAGCAATAATAAGTTAAAAGCAAAACGAAAAGAACTAAATCAAAAGAAGAAACATTTGTAATACCTTGGAGGTCTTGTTCTTCTTTATGGGGACCTGAAATATTTTCTATTGGAACCGTCTTGTAGTCCGCAAGAAAAGTCTGGCCAGAAAACAAGTTACTTATCTAATTAAGCATATTGGATTTTAAGAAATAATGCAAAAAAATAAAATAAAGTTGATTGCATAGATTAGTAACATGAATTACCTTGTCATCAAAATCAGTGACTGCAATGGACCTAGCATTGTGATCTTCCTTTAGTTGTTCCATGAAATTGAAGGAATTATCCAAGTCATGGATTTGATTATTGTGAGGAAGAAAAGAAAAGTCATCACTAGGAGGAGCATAATTGTAATTTCCACCCCATGAATCTTGATTTGTAATATCATGTGAAGCTTGGGCAACGGATAGGATTTCTTGTACAATATCCGTTTGATTTGTGCTTTGATGATACATAAGATGATCATTTGATTGAGAATCAACATAGCCCACTTGGGGAAAATCTTGCACCTCCAATGGAGGTAAGGCAAACCTATGCTGCAACCTCGCACACTCTAATGCTATATCAACCTTTAATTTAATAAAAAACACAAATTAGAAACGAGAATACAGAAAAGGATTTGACTTAAATACATTGACAGCACTGTTAAAAACAATGATATTTTAACATATTGTACCAAACAATCTCATTATTTTGTTAGATTACTAATCTTACTTTTTATGAATGGTTACATGTACTTATCGTTTAGGTGATTTGATTATCTTTAATTTTTACTGTATCAAGGTAATTAAGTAAAACTCTTAAAAGCAAAAGCTGAAAATAAAAAAAAGCTAACCAAAAGGAAGCTCTATTTTGTTTTGCTTATTTTTTGGTTTATTCATTATTTCGTGATTTCGTCATACTAATATTCTAATTTTAGTGGGCATTACCTTAGAAGGGTGATATGGAAAAGCTCCATTACTAGTGGGAAATGAAGGATTAATGGAAGTGAAAGCTTCATCAGATAAGTATTGCATCCATTTATCATCATGACTTGGACCAGCAACATTCATTAATGGAGAACCATGGACAGCCATGGATGAACTTGTTGCTGCTGATGGCATTCCATAGTCAGAACTCTGATCCATATCATCAAACCTTGATCCCTCAGTATACACATCAATGCTAGAGGATCGATCACTAGCATAATGATCTCCACTTTTTGGGGCATTCAAACTCTTCTTGAATACACGGCAAAGTGCATATGCATCCTGCAAATCTCATGCAAAATTAACATCATCAGATGGTTTAAACTTAGATACAACATATACAGTAGCGGAGACCGCATATTTTAAAAAGGGGATTGGATTCAAAAAGAAACGAAGCATGTCACAACAGGAATTTGAATCTATGACCTAAAACAATTTTTCAACCAACACTGACACCATATTAAAATCTTTCTTTATGTCAAAGAGATTCAACAACACACATATATAAGTATATATANGGATATATGTGTTTAGAAAAAGTTATTTTGCTCTATATTTACATAATATAATTTTTCGACGCATGGAATTCAAGTGAACCCCTTACATGCATCCGCGTAGCTCTACTCCCGGTCGTAAATATTTTTACCATATGCAATATTAGAGGTTATATATGATGTCAGATATGATGACAAACATATCGTTTCCATTGTATTTTTTCTTAAATACGTCTTATGTATGTCCTAATCCGTCGTTGTGATACACATCTTTATTAATGCACCAATGATCTAAAAAAATACTGAAAGAATTTAAGTTTTATGGGATGATGGAATAAATAGTATTTACACAATGAACTGAAAGAGAAAGAGATAGACTGAGATCCATACAACCCCTTCTTTACAAAAGGTTTGAAATTACTTATTAGATAATTATAAGTAAATCTTTTGATAAACATGAATTAAAAAACTGATTAAAATGATGGATATAACTTAAATAATTTTAAAAACATAAGTATTAAGTATGTATGTACCTGCATGCCATTAGCAACTTCACATTCTCTTTCTTCTAAACGATACTCATGCATGACCCAACCAGTTCGAGTTCCATGGGGTGCTCTCCCTCTGTAATATACTAGGGTTTTCTTCATTCCAATAGGCCTCATCTGCGAATTTACTTTTCTATCCTTTCCCGTAGCCTTCCAGTACCCAGCTTTCGTTGCACGGTTAGTCCTCGTTCCATTAGGGTATTTTCGATCACGAGGACTGAAGAAGTACCATTCCATATCTTTACTAGGCAAAAGAGACTTATCTGTAACATAAATAATAAATTAACAACAAAATGAGAAAAGCAACAAAAAAATAAATAAATTGAAAGTGATTCTTGAAAAATATGGTAATCATCAAATTAAGGAACTGGCCTTTGTTGTATATTATAGTATAAAGATCCCAACAGAAAATTAGAATGAAATCATGTTAGTTCCTTTTCCTTTGCCTTTTGACTTCAGATATTTAAGCTAAGCAGTAAAGTACACATCTTTAGGCTTCAATAGGAAATCAAAAGTAGGGACCAACATGAACTTCCTTTAAAGAAAGAAACATACATGTTATGATATATATATATATATATAAAGCATATGGTTGTTGACTAGTAAAATATGTTCAAAGTATCCAGAATCAGAACATATTAGTTTGCACGCGTATGGAACATCAAGGAAAAATAAACTAATTGAAGCTTGTAATTATTATGTGAGTACCTTTAGAAGAAAATACCTTTAAATTCTTCATTTTCTTATCTTTTTGTTTAACCAATTTGGCTTGTGATCATTTCCTTTCTCGAATTTTTAAATTAAACGTATGGCCTCACAACTAAGGTCTTATAATTACATGTTAAAATTACACACGAGTTGTCTTTCAATATATATCAAAGTGAAAACGAAATAGTAGTTAGTACAATATCTTTAGTTGTTATACCTTTCTTGACAATCACTTTGGACGTATCTAGCTGCTAGGTAATATTTCTTTTTCTTTATCCCAGAGACACGTCACAATTACAAATTAGGAAAATATACAATATGCTTCCACATCGTAATTTTCCTTTGACATACATCTTCTATGACACTTGATTTATAGATGATGATGATGTAACCAATTTTTTTTAATTCTTGCTTCTAAAGAGGACCAAACCAAAAAATGGAAATGGAGTTATATGTACCTGGTAAATCCCATGGCTCACATTTGTAGAGATCAACTTCAGGAATGACCTCAAGTTCAATTTTCCTACCATTAATCTTTCTTTTCAAATAGTAAGCAACAAGTTCTTCATCTGTTGGATGAAACCTGAAACCAGGGGGCAATGAAACAGGTGCCATATTATATATATATATATAATCTTCTTTGGAACTTCTCTTTATAATTTTCTACTTTTATTATCTTCCTGATCAGAGAATTTCCAAAGAAGAAGAAGAAGAATGAAAGGTAGAGAAGATAGAAATTTTATGGAGACAAGTTTGGCGGAAAAATGATGAGGAAGTTGTAGGATTGATAATAATAAGAAGACAAAAAGAGAAGGAAGTCCAAAAAGCAAATGAAAGTTGTCACCCCCTCTTGGCTCCTTTTGCCTTTAAAATTGTTTTTTCACCTTTAATAATCTTTCTTCTCAAGCTCAAGGCCAATATAGAGCTCTAGCTAATTATTTCAATTCCTGACTCTTTCATATGGTAAATGGTTGAATGTATACATACAAAGTTACAATATATAGAGTATTTTTTTGACTACTCTAGCAAAATTCTATGCTTCCAATTTGTCCTTTCTTGGAATCTGAGCTTCCTTGTACACGTGGTGATATCTGATTTGTCACATTACTGGCCTAGTGGGGCATCTATATATGTAATTTAAGGATATAATAAAAAAATACTCTTCTTTTTTTGTTTAGAAGGAGAGGAAGAGGATCTTTGTCCCTCTACAACTACGTTAACGAGAAACTGTCCTTACGGAAACGAATTGGCGGCTTTTCTTAACTGTCAATCTGCCAAAAATGTTCCTTTCACATGCTCATTTCTACTTCTACCGACAATTTAATTTCTTCTTTTATTTTTCTTCTTTTTCCTCTCTAATTTTATATATTCTTCTTACCTATAATATTCATTTTTTAGTCTTAGACAAAATATGTAAGTTAAATATTCTCAAACTATATTAAATGGAAATTTAATAGAAAATTCTAAATATATTTTCAGTGGATGACTTAATTAGCGTATAACTAATGTTAATTGCTCAAACAACTAGGTAAGCTTAAACAATATTTCAAACTGTAAAAGCAGGTTTGAACAAATTATATTCTGGTTATATTTCTCAATTAATTAAAAGTGACATTGATTCATCACTTAATTTTCAAAACTGTTAATTTAAATGCATCAAATCCTATATAAGGAAAGCAATAAATATGTTTTTTCATTATAGCATTAACATATTTCAAGACCTAATTAAAGTAGAGGTAGATGAAACTTTTATCTGGTTGTGATGAAATACTAAATACTCTTTTATTCTTAAAACACTGGATGAGAATTTAAAAAAAAAAAAAAAAA